AGGCGCAAAGGACCTTCTAGCTCATTGTAATAGGAAGCGGATATAGGATATGAATATGTATAGGCGTATGGTGCAACCTTATAAATGTAGAGGGAAACAACACTGAGGTACGCATGACTTTGAGGAATTATCCCCGTGCGTCTCAGCACTGAATAAAAAGCATGCCTACTTTACAACTTTAATGACTTGTGGAGTCAGTCCGTGCATCAGAACCAATTAAACTGGTATGAGCATTTACTGGGAGAGCTTCAAAGGCTGCCAGAAGTGATGAAGATTGTTGTAAGAAGTAAACGACCCTCAGAAAACACAACCACAATTTTGTATGCATGAAGGGAACTTTCTGGAAAATTATGTAATCCATACGTAGCCTCATGAACATGTATGTATGCCCAGGGACTATAAAAGGACGGCTTGTGTGGCAATTGGGGAAAACACGTTAGGAGAAGCTATCCCCTGTATCTCCCAGCGCCACAATAAAGAATACCTGTTGTCAACGCGAAAACTTTGTTGGCAAGTTTGTTCCTGGAATTTTCTCTGAATCAGGGCAGATGGTGTTCTGTGCATTTTTTGTTCTCGAGTTCACATAAAAGTTTTTAACAGGGGGTGTAAAAAGGCAGTGAGGCCCCTTTAGTTGTTTGATAACCATGTTCAAACTCAGCAGAAGGAAGACTAATGGCAACAAGCCAAATAATAACTAATCTAAGACAACCTGTATGAGTAACCTTTGATGACTGTGACACTATTGATGATGACCTATATTCAAATTGTGGAAACTTGGATTGGAGGAGGTATTATAGAGAATGCGAATAATATATTTGTCTCCGACCAAAAGAGAAATCGTATTTACCTACAGGTTGTTATGCAGATTGGGAATATGATAATGAATCCAAAAGAAGTTACCATTTTCATGGACATACTGGATGGAGTTGTGCCTGTTGGAGTACAACTCCTACCTGGGGATGGCCCCAAGAATGCAAGGGATCCCAATTGAGGGCAAAAATTAGAAAGGGAATAACTTTTGCCAACTGCACAGCCCATTCTTGTAATCCTGTCAATCTAACTATCTGGAATCCAGGACAATGGAGATGAGAGGAGGTAAAAATTGGACTAGTAATTTATGGAACTGGAGAAGATCCAGGGGTGATTTTACAAGTAGTAATTAAGGAAAAATCTAGAGCGTCAGTGCAACACCACTTATTATTCAATTCTGTCTATCAAGAAATAGAAACAGGAGTCCAATATGAAATTCCCACAGTTGCTAAAAATCTCTTTGTAAATCTTGCTGAAAATACAGCTAAAGCATTGAATGTAACTAACTGCTATGTTTGTGGGGGAACTAACCAAAAGGAGAGATGGCCCTGGGAGGCAATGGAGAGTAATATAAGCAACCCTGCAATCTGGAAAAATCGAAAAGGGTAAAATAGGAGACAACAATGGATCTTACAAACGAATATAATTGGGAAAAGTTGTTGGTAGAATTTAGAAAATGGTGGAAAACCAGTAGGAAATTTACTTTGTAAAGGGGGTTATATATGGAACAGAACAAAGACTGGGAAAAATGGGGAAATCCTATAGAAATAAATCAGTGATTCAGTAACTGGACTAATGGAACTAACATATGAAATGGTTGACCCACTCCAGATGGACATTATTGGATCTGTGGTAAAATAACCTTTGCATTTTTACCTCAAAATTGGACAGGATCATGTATATTAGGAACCATCAGACCCAGTTTCTTTTTATTACCTATAAGCCGAGGGGAATGCTTGGGAGTCCAGTTATATATAGCAACAGGTGAACTAAGGAGAAAACGATATAGAAGAGAACTACAAATTGGTAATTGGAAAGACAATGAGTGGCCACCTGAACGAATAATTTCTTATTATGATCCAGCGACTTGGGCTGAAGATGGGTCCTGGGGATACAGGACTCCTATATATATATGCTGAATAGGTTTATAAGATTACAAGCTGTAGTAGAAATAGTAGTAAATAAAACAGGAGATGCATTAGGACTAGTTGCAAAGCAAAATACTAAAATGAGAACTGCAATATACCAGAATCATTTGGCTTTGGATTATTTGCTAGCTCAAGAAGGAGGGGTCTATGGAAAATTCAATCTCAGTAATTGCTGTTTAGAAATAGCTGATGAGGGAAAAGCCATAAGTGAGCTTGTGAGAGAAATGAAAAAGATAGCCCATGTTCCAGTACCAACCTGGAATGGAAGGAGGATTATGATCTTGGGGACAATTCTTAAATGAGGACTGGATCACTAAAATCGGTGTAGTGATACTGGGAATATTTGGAGGACTATTAATTATTCCATGTATAATCCCATGTTTCACCAGACTGATACATAAAGTTATGCAAAACATGCAATTAACCATCATGCCATTGGAACCAGAAAATAAGGGAGGAACCCACTCGTTAATGATATTGAAAACAAAGATGACTCCATTATTATCTGCTGCTCAAAAGGCAGTTATTAAATTGGAGGCCAAGACACGAATCAATAAGTTACATAAAAACAAAGGGGGGAATTGTGAGGTATATAGGAATGATTCGTGTCAGAAACTTAGGAGTCCTTGTCATCATTGCACTTTGGGAGGAATCGAAAATCATGTGTAGAATGTATACGAATGATCAGATTAAGATGGGAGTTCCTGTAAATACAATGATGAAAAGAAAAGAAGGAACAAAGGAATAATCCTTCCTAACCAAAGTCTTTGTTGCTTTAAGGGGTACTTTGTTTAACTACTTGAACGTCTCAAATGCTTTGCTAACTACAGAGGGTGTTTTGTTTAACTGCTTGAATACCTTAAGGTGGCTAGGTAATCAAGGGATACATTCTGTTATGGGATGAGGTGAAACTTGTGTATTCAATATGTAACTATATAAGAAATGGAATTGAGGGGGCTAAGATGGTGGTTAAGCTTGTGACAGACATTCCCTGTTAATGTATTGCCAAGGAATTCAATGACTTTTTAAGAAGTTTCATCACCCAAAGATAAGATCCCAGCAACAGGAGGAGAACAATGAAAAAGAACCACGTCGATATTCGGGTGAAGGAGACGACAGGATTGGTTGAAACCCAAGATCGAGGAGTATAAGAGACTGCACCCCAGAACTCTCGGCGTGCGTTGCTGGTGGAGTAAAGGCTCCCCTGCGCACCCAGCGCTGCTTGCTTATTGCCTCTCAATAAATTGTAAATAAATTAAATTTGGACCAAAACCCTGTCTATGCTAAATTTTTATAATAATGTGCATATATTATTCATGATCAAAAGTGACAACATTCAAAATACTTGATATCAGTATTTCAAATAGGAATCCTCTCAGTCAGTAGGCTCTTGGGCTTCATCCCACTGAGACTGTGCTGGGATTTTTGGTCATAAATGAAATTTGAGAAATAATTCAGCACTCGATAGCAGCAACATTTATGCTGAGACTTACTATATAATAATAACCGGCTACAACCTGCCACTCAGATAATAGTGAGGGCAGTACCAAGTCCCACATTATCATGGAGTGCAGCACTACACAAAGGACTGAAATCAAAGGGATGGAAAATGCCAACACACTAAAGACAAACAAAAGCCATGACCACTGCAAAGCCAGCATTCAATGTGTCTCACGGGCTCCAGGAGAATGGTTACCTCAGGTGATTCATGAGGCGAGAACATGGAGTCTAAAAACTGGTAACATCTACAGCAGGCTGGCTACAAAGCCAAGGTGTGAAGAGCTGGTCAGAGCAAATCCTAAGGGCACTCTTTCCTATCAAGAACAATAATATTCAGAGGACACTCAACACCTTACCTGGAGAAACAAATCCCATGGCTTCACAGGAACACAATTTGATACTTAAGCAGCCTCCCCAGAACACGGCCAATTGCTTCACACCATCTGGGGTGTCATGCTAAGAGCCCTTTGCCACACATCAGCAACTGCCTCTGCAAGACTCCATCATGGCTGCTGAAAAGCGGGGCTTCCTCTCGCGATAAGCTAGTTCATCTTTAATCATGGCCAAGCTGGTGTGAAGATACTTCCTCAACCTGGAAATCCCTGAGCAGGAAGCATTCAGCAGTGATAGTGGATAAAGACAGACAGGAGATCAACATGCTGCCTGGTTTGCTCAGTGCCGCAGTTGCCCTCGCTCAGGGAAGCTGCAGGAAAAAAAAACAGCAGCCATGGGGTCACTCTTTCCCTCAAAAAAAAAGATCCAGGAAGCTCTAACGTAGCAACGGGCAAGAGCTTTGTACTGCCCCACATCCACAATCACAGACCATTGACCGCCCTGTGCCTCCTAGTGAAATCCAGGTGGCAGGATGTCCGTTTCATTTCCTGGAGAGGGTTGGCTAATTATCATAAATGGCTGCAAAGAGTACGTGAGGATAGGCTCCGGCTGAGGTGATAGATGGCTCTGGAGTTCACCGCGGCTCGCGGCTTAGAGGTTTCCTGCTACCTCCATTTTCTCGGTGATAACCACGGGGTGGATGGGACAGTCATGCAGTGCCGAGAAGGCAGGAAGGTGGCCGGCAGGGCCACTCGACGCTGGCGGCTAGGATCTGGCCCTGTGCCCGCCTCTCCCCGTGGGGGCATTGGGCGGGCGGCACGGTCCTCCCCGCCGCGCGGCCGCTACTTCCCCCCCCTTTATTATTATTATTATTATTATTATTATTATTATTATTATTATTATTATTATTATTGTTGTTGTTGTTGTTGTTGTTTATCAAGTTTTTATTTATGTATTTTGGCCACAGAAAGAGTTTGAAGCGCTCCTAGCTCGGAGCGGCGTGAGGGGTGGAAGGAGGTCGCTCTCCGGCCCCATGACTTTCCCTGACGGAGGGCGCCGGGAGACCCGTCCCGGACCCGGTCGCAGGGGAGGAAGCGCCGAGCTGCTGCTGATTATGACAGCGCCGCCGCTTGCCTCTGCTCGCCTCTGATTCTGCGCACAGCCAACTCCAAAGCCTGTTATTCTGCAAAACACAGTTTACTCAACAGAGAGAGCGAGTGGGAGAGCGGTGGAGACGGAAACGGCGCAAAGGAACCAAGTTCCGAAACCCAGCATGGCTTCAGGGAACCTTTATGAGGTAGAGGGGACCACAGGGCGCAGTAGGGCATCGCAGGGGTGTGGGGGGCGGCCGGGGGAGGTGTGCTGGGCGGGCGGCGCGGAGGGCAGCCGTGCCGCAGCTGGGAGTCGTTCCGCCAAGCCGCCCTAGTTGCTGAAGAGCGGAGGAAATCGCCGAGAGAAGGGGCTGGGCTGGGGGGAAAAAGGGGTGGTGTGTGCGCCGTGGTGGGTGGAGGGAAGGATGGAGCGGCTGCCTTTCCTTCCCTCTGCTTCTCTTTCTTTTTCTCTTTCTACTTTCCATCGGGCTTGATCTTAGCAGGCCTTGTAAGAGAGGAGGAAGGAGTGAAGGAGAGCGAGAGTTAGCGATAGGATGAGGAGGCGATCGCAGTGTCATGAGCCCGGAGAGTGGAGAAAGTCCAGATAAAGTCATAGGCGCTCTGGACGTGCTGAATGTGCAGATTAGTACGAAAAAATACGTCTTAGCGCTGCCTGGAGGCGGCTCTGCACCCGCTGTGCAAACTGCAGGAGCCTGCGCCAGGTTGCTTCACCTTCAGCACAGAAGGCGGCGGCCGGGCCGGGCTCGGCCCGGGCCCAGCCCCAACCCCTAGCACCGCACCGGGCGGCAAAGTTTGGCGGGAGCCCCTCTGCGGTGCAGCCGGGCGGCCCGGGATGCGAAGTAGGGCGGTTGCCGTCGCAGTGCCGGCCCCCCGCAGCCCGGCGTGCGGTGCCCCACGGGGAGAGTGGCGGAGCGTCGGGCGACGGCCGTCCGGGGTCCAGTAGGAGGAAGGGAGAGAAGAAGGAGTTGGAAGGCTGTCGCGAGACCCAGCCAAATTTTGACCTCAGACACCCAGTTTTAATGCCCAAACTGAGAAGAAGTTAAGCTGTTCTTGCCGTGCCAGAAAAGAGGAAGGAGAAGGTAGAAATTAAAAATAAGATAGACTGGACCCAGGTGTTTAAATATCCAGCTCCAGTAAGTGGAAGTGGGGTGGAAGTCTACCATCTAAAAAGCCCAACTATGACTTGATGCCCAAGAGTTCTCGGTGTGGAGCACTTCCTCAGGTTTAACGTTTTCTGCTGAAACAGCTGTTTGTGTTGTGGTCATCTGGAGCACACAGTGTGAGGGCTAGGACAGGAATGATCCCCTTCCAGTTGGAACTGCTGCTGCAGTTGGTTGGACATATTTGGACTTGGTCTCCATTTGATGATCTTGATGATCAGCTGTAGGGTCTTAAGTGCAAGAAGTGGAGGATCCGGCAGTTTCCACATAGTGTTGACTTTGTCTTTTAAAGTCTTTAACAAAGGTCATAGTTAAGTGATGACATTGCTCTATTAGAACTGTATTTTCCTGTGTGGGACACAGAGTTCCTCTGAAGTGAACAGTGCTTACATTCTCCTGTGTGGTGCTAAATTATCAGAAGTAAATGATGACTTCAGTATGTCATTGACCTTTTCCCCACCATTTTGCAATATCTGTCATATTACTTTGCAATTTTAAGGATATTGCATGTCAGCTTCTCCTGGGTTCAGCAGTTGCAGTCATTTTTCTCCTTCTTAGTAGCTGGTGCAATGCTGTGTTTTCGACTTTAGTCTGGGAACAGTGTTGATAACTGTTCTTGCTAAGTAATGCTTATCCTGATCAAGGACTTCTCAGTCTCATGCTCTGCCAGTAAGGAGGGCACAAAAAGCCAGGAGGAAGCAGAGACATTACCCAAACTAGCCAAAGGGGTATTCCATGCTACAGCACATCATGCCCACTATATAAATTGGGGGGAATTGCCCAGAAAGCCCAGATTGCTGCTCGGGTCAGGCTAGATATTGGTTGGTGGGTGGAGAGCAATTGTATTCCCTCCCCTTTTTATTTCCCTCATCATTATTATTATTGGTGGTTGCAGTAGTAGTTTTGTATTATACCTTAGTTACTGGACTGTTCTTACCTCAACCCGTGGGAGTTACATTCTTTTGATTCTCCTCTCCATCCTTCTGGGAGGGGGGGGAGGAAGAAGAAGGGGGGGGAGTGATCGAGAGGCTGCATGGTTTTCAGTTACCGGCTGGGCTTAAACCACAACACAGCTGTATTGCTGTTGTGACTCTGGAATAGCCAGTGGGAGCTCTGTGAAGAACAACTTTGACTCATAGAAGTTAACAATACAGTTCTGTATTATGTGTAGAGGATCTTTGCCTGGTGTTGTCCAAGTTTTCTTTAGATGTTGGGATTAGTTCTAGAAAGAAGTAAAACTAGTACCTCTCAGGCTAATGCTGGTTTAGCTCCTACTTATCTTTAAAAAATTCAGCTTTTTTATGATCTTTGTGTTATTTCAAGACAATGGATGTTTGTCAATTCTATGTGAGCTGTGCATTGAGTGCACTACTGCATGGTATACAAGTGATGTTACTCAAGTAATAACCTGGCATGTAGGGTTTCTGTGGGAGAGTATTCTTCCGACCCAATTTGCAGTGAATTTTATGCCCAGCCCCTCTGCAGGCATTTGCATGGATGAATGTAAATTTAGTGTCTCTAAATCACGCTTCCTTTCTTTGTTACTTCATTTGAACTACTTTTGCTTATCAGTGTATAATATACAAGGATTGTATCCACCAGGACAGGTAAGTGGAAAAGGTATGGCTATTCATTTCTTGTTGTGTGAGGTGTTTGGAATATGACATTCTCAGCTGGTCATGGTGTAAAATCCACATATACATGTTGGACTTGTGGGAAGTGGTATGTGAAGGCTTTGCTTATCAATCCATCCACAGTTTGCATCTATACTGTGACATTCTCAGTGACAGAGAGCAGAAGAAAGCTGAAGAGTTTGTATATCTAATATGTAGCAAGTGTGTAGATGGTAGTACCTTCATTTAAAAATTACTCAGCTTTGCTTCCCTGCTTCTTCCCATCCCAGAAAACCAACTGCATCAAAGGGACTTGGTAGAAAGAAGCTCGTCCAGGTGGGTGTGATGTCCTGTCCCACACCAGTTAGCACGTGAAATGAAGTGCGTTGTACCTTCAGAGCTGACACCTCCATGCTTGCTTGGATACATCCCTCTTTTCTCTCCTCCTGAAGAAGCAAAACATGTGTTCAAGGCCAGGTTGGACAGAGCCTTGGGTGACATGGTCTAGTGTGAGGTGTCCCTGCCCATAGCAGGGGGGTCATAACTAGATGATCTTACGGTCTTTTCCAACCCTAACCATTCTATGATTCTGTGTGGATGGCAGAATGACCGTTAAACAGTTCCAGGATTTTAGCTTTAAATAATTTGAGGCTGTTGGTGTAAATAAATAATTTGGGACTTATGGTGACGTTCCAAAGGTATACTACACTCCTGATTCTCCATTAGTAACATCCAAGTCCTTCAAGGATTCTTACTGAACTTCAACAAATAATACAATAATTACCTCTGCAATTTGGAGTATTTAATACTGCAAAATTATTTTGTTAAAGCCAGTCATGATCTAGGAGCTATGGTAAAGCACATTAAAAAGTACAGTGTGTATCACCTGTACTAACTTCTCGTATTTTGGTAGCACCCAAGAAACTTAAGTATAACATTTTAAGTTTTGGAAATAGATGTTCATGTTTATCCTGTCAGTTCATTTTTTTTTCTACTGCTGTGTTATTTTAAAAGGCCTTTCAGCTTTTTAAACTTAAGTTCAATTAATATCTTTATGTTGAAGCAAAATAAGATAACAGACAATATAACCTCAGTGTTTGGTTTACTAAGGGCTTTTTTCTAGTTAGAAATGGCTTCTAATAATCTGAAAAACCTCCTATTATATTAGTTTTAGGGCTGTGAAACAGGTACCAATTTATTTCAAAAGCAAAAGAACTCCCATTGTGAATTCTATGTTTACTGATAATCAATTCTAGATTTGTGTATTAGAACCAAGAAACTTTGCACCCAAAGAGGGTTGTTTCCATTATGGGATATAAGGTAGGTGTTAGTTTTGAAGCTTTATTTTTAAGCAATGGGATTTTTTTCCTTTAACAGTAAGGAATTATGTATATATTTTAGTGTAAATTTCAGGCTATATAAAATATTAGTTTGGCTTTTCTTGACTTCCATGTGCTTATGACTTTAAGCTTTTCTGAGTGGGTGAGAGAGTCATGGAATATTCTATATTTTTTTGTTTTTTAATTCTTTTCTTATAAGAGGTAACCTGTTAAGTATTAAAGAACTATGGTTCACATTCCTTAAAAATAAAATGAAAATAATGGAGTGACAAAATGGTATTCTTGGTGGCCTTCAGGAAGGCAGCCCTTGTTTGCTTTATAATTCAAATGCACTGTTGGATGCATTGACAGGAAATCCTCGTTCATTTTGGTAACAAACAGAAAGGGTAATGTATTTACTCATAAATATCAAGTTTGTTGATTCACATTAAAGTTGTTATCAGTAATTTGAAGTAATATTTTGTATTTTCCATGTACAATTTAGTTCTCACATTACCTGAACCTAAGTAGTTCTCTCACAAATGCTCTGGTATTAAAAGTTACGAAATGGCTTTGGAAGGGAAAAAAAATCAATATGAACAGTGCATCTAACTTTATTTTTCCTAGCACAGAGCATCCCATTTACTCCAGTAAAATTCCACTTTATTGATGATTATATGAATCAGTTATCAGTAACACAGAGGTGCTCATGAAACTGATGCTTTTCTTATTTAATATTTTGGAGGATTATATACAATGAACACAATTAGACATTCAGGGACGATGATGTTGAAATGTAACGACTTGTTTATTTTAACATTGTGTCGGATTATGCTACACCACTTTAGGTAAGTGATCTAAAGATTATAGCTAAATCTCTGAAGGGGAATGTCACGTGTATGTTTCGGGATCACAGTAATAAAATCAGTCTTTAAAAATCAGCAGTTTTTGCACTGATGAAAAGTGATGTTTTAAAAAAAATGGCATCTTCTCACTGAAATTATATAATCCCATGGATAGAAGGCTTGTCTGCCATAGTGACAGGTTTCAATTAAATCTTAGTGTGTTTATGCAGCTGTGTGAGATAGAGCTG